CGATTATCTGTACCAAAAATGCTCAAAACCAGTATTTTGCCACTGGAATAATCGATTATCCAGCCTGATAATCGATTATCTCTGCACTTGAAGAAAAAAATCGATTATCAGAGGCTGATAATCGATTATCCTGCGATGTTATGGGTAAACTAGCTGTTTGAAATGACTATTTTTGCTTCAATTCTCCTCCAACTAGCGGTTTATGATCGTTAGGATGTTTCTCTATATATAGGAAGGCTCCAATTCACATCTACACACCTCCAAACCTTGAATCAAAGCTTTCTACACGCATTCAAGCTCTCTTGTCTCATCAAAACCTTCTTCTTCTCAAAAGCTTATTCATCTTTCTCTCTTTCTAATCTAAATGGCTTCATCATCTCGTAGTAAGATCACAACAAGGAGAAGATCCACTCCTGCTTTTCATCCCCACCCTAATTCCATTGAAGGGTGGATCTCCGTCGATGAGGGAAGACAGGAATTCCTGACTTTCTGGAAAGATATATCAATTCATCAATAGGGGCTTCAACTTCCCCAATCTCCTTGAGCAGCAAGGTGTCCTTCCCTTTATAGAAATGCAAGGTACTTACTATCTAGATTTAGTTAGGGTCTTCTATTCATGCTTTAAATATAGGGATCACATTACTACCTCTAGAGTCAAGGGTGTGACCATCATCCTTGATGATGATATTTGGAAAAATGTTGCTCATTTTCCTTTAAGAGAAGATGCTGTAAATGTTCTTGCTGACTTAGAAGATTTTAATCGCATTATGGCATACCGCTCTTTTCTCCGTAACCCCTCTATGGAAATTGGCCGCCAACTTTTGGCCGGGACTTTGAAGAAAGAAGAACGCCTCTTACTGCATCTTCTTGTATGGATTCTGTGTCCCCGGGCAACCAACCATGCCCAATGTTCTTCTGCTGACCTTCGCATTATTCATGCCATCATGAATAATGAACCCATTGATTGGCCAAGCTTAGTCACATGAACAATGCTCAAGGCGAAGCGTCACCCAACATTCAAGACTCCTTACGCTCTCCTAATATCCAAAATTCTTGAATACAAAGGCGTAAATGTTGAAGGAGAACAACGGGCCTGGACCCTAAATTCAAACAAAATGCTGGACGACATGCTTACTCAGCTACAGATGGTGAACATAAACGAAATTTACGTTCATAAAGATGATGCTCCTCACATGGCCAACGTGGCTCAAGATTCTGATGATGAGGACATGTCTGCTGCTAACATGCCTGCTGAAAATATTCATACTGCTGGAACGTCATCTGCTCATCCTATATCCCGCCCTTCTATGGAAGATATGTTGTTTGATATGAATCAAAGAATGCAGAAATTTTTCTCTATCTCTCAAGAATGACATCAAGAAATTATTCGACGTATTTCAGATGTAGATGATAGATTATGTAATTTAGAGGACATATTTGACGCCCAGTTTAATAGTGATGAAAGTGAAGAGTTTTAATCTCTTCAACATATTTCTTGTTTGTAATTCATTTGCTTTGTGGAATAAAAACTTTATTTTAGCTTTGATTGAGGGGGAGTTATTTTCTATATTATGCATTTATTGAGGGGGAGCTTTCATTTTTTATCATAATCAAAATAGGAGGAGAAATTATTTAAAGCCTCTTATGTTTAATAATTTTAATGTTGTCTCGTATGTTTAATGTTTTTGTTAGCTGTGACAGATAAAACATGTTATTACAAAGGGCTTTAAAATTTTTTTTGATCATCATCAAAAAGGGGGAGATTGTTAAACATACAAGGATATGGAGCTTGTAGATTTTGATGATGATTCAAGAACAAAGGACTTAGAGATTTGAAGACTTGTAATCTTATGTAATAACTCTATTTTTATGTTTTTGAGTCTGTAATATTAGAGTCCAAGATAACCAGCACATAGACCATCCTTTAAAAGCTCTAAAAACTCATTTTTATCAAAATAAACTGTGATAATCGATTATCACTCAGGATAATCGATTATTACAGCAATAAAATTGTTTTCAGGAATAACTCAATGTGATAATCGATTATCACTCAGGATAATCGATTATCACAGGTAAATAATTGATTATTTGGTCAGATAATCGATTATCCTGGTCCAATTTTGTTCCTTTGCGAAAATGGCTCTGGAATAATCGATTATCACTCAGGATAATCGATTATTTACGTCTGTTATGTGTTTTGAAATTCAAATTTGGACCAATTTACTAAAACCCTATTCCCAATTCTTTTGTTTTTGAAAATCCCCATTTCCCAGACCTTATTATCTCTACTTAAGGTTCTCTAAGGCTCTCTGCAAATGAACAAACCTTTTTCATACAAAAGTTAAGAGTTGTGACTGCTAGCACTTTCTGTAGGGAAGAAAAAAAGGGGCTTTTGAAAACCTAGTGTGAGCTAGAAGCGATAAGAATCACTAAGTGAGTTTCTTGGTGGATTGTGTGTTGTGCCGTCTCTAGGAAAAATTGTTCTTCATCCTTTGTGGATTCAAAGGAGGTGTTCATCTCTTGTGTAACTCAAGAGAGGTGTTTTCTATTCCTTATCTTTTCAATTTGTAATCTGTTTGTAAATTGTGATTATAATGACGACGTTAATCCTCTTTTTGAGTGATTAGCAACTGGACGTAGGGTCTTTTGATCCGAACCAGTATAAATTAACTGTGTAATCTTCTTTCCCTTATATATTTACTTTACAAAGCATTTTAATTGGTGAAATTTGGGAAAAATTTTAAAACCCTAATTTTTGTTTAAGAAACCAATTCACCCCCTCTTGATTTTTGTCCGTAAACGTAAACATTCCGCTGCGCGATTCTAACAAAGATTACCTTTGCAGTAGGCTAACTATTTCGCTTACTAAAATGCAAAGCATTTAGCAAGATATTGCATATCAAATTTTTGCATAATTGATGAATCAAGTTCTAACTTTTGCAATTTATTATTTGTGGACCTTGTATGGGTCTTATGTGTTTCAGTGTCTTTGTTGTTGTATAAGTAAGCTTGGGAAAACCAAATGACATAAGTTATCTTCATTTTAATGATGTATTAAAATTTGTATGATGTATCTTGTGATTACATTTACATCTAAAAATTAATGATAACCACTTAAACAAGAGAATAAATAATTAACCACTACTTTTAATTGATTTTAATACTTTTACTACATTTTTTTACTGTCTCTCATTATTTCTATAAAAATCATATAAATCTCCGGTCTTAACTCTCTTATAATTGAAAACTAAGTTTCCTAGTTATTATTTTTTTTCTTGCATATAATTGTTTAATTACATTTTCCTCTTTGACCCTTGACTTTTTTAATTGTCTCCACTCTCATTCTCGATTCACTGCTTGGAGTTAGAAATTAAGTCACAATTTTCATCTCCGTTAGGTTTCGGGTTTTCCCACCGCTAATTCGTTCCCATTTCACATTATTTCTAAAAAATAATTATACATATAATAAAATAATTTTAATTTTTTAAAATTTTTTTTATATAGATATAAAATACTTATAACATTATTATTATTATTATTATTATTATATATTATAATATTGTATTTAAACATTTAATTATATATATAAGTTAATTATTTTTTAAGTTATTATTTTAAAATATTTATAAATATGAAATATATAGTTTATGAGAAAATATTTAATTAGTTAATTCTTATTTAATTAGTTCAAAATAATAAAAATTTTAATTATCTATTTTTTTAATCCTACAAAATAAAATTATTTAATTAAGCAAATTTGATATATAACAAATATGAATAATAAAATCTAAAAAGTATAACATAATAAAATCTAATAAAGATAAATTAGAAATAAAATAATATTAGTTATTACTAAAATTGATATAGAATATTTAAAAAAAGATAAAGAAGAAAAAAATTAACTTTGTATTTGTCAAATTCATTGAAAAGATTATAAATACTAAATTGATTGAAGAGATTAAAAAATATGAAAAAGTCAAAGATAAGAAAAAGAAAAAATAATATACTGAACTAATTAATCTAAAAAATTGAAAAAGAGAGAAAGAATGAAATATAAGCAAAAGAAAAGTAAAATGGTGAAATATAAAAAAATGACATTATATACTATGAAAAAAAATGAAATATTTAAAAAATATTTAAATTATATGATTTAAATTTGATATGATGTATTTAGGTTATGAATGATGATAATAAAGAGTAGTTTTTATTATTTTTGAGATGAAATAAATTCACCTTTTTATAATTTATATTTAAATAATTTAATAAAAAAAATTTCATTAATATAATTTAATTTTAAAATATTTTTTTTTATTTTTAATTATGTTAAATTTAACTCATTTGTATATTAACCTAATACAGGGTTAAATTATACTAAAAATTATGATTTATTTTTAAATATAATCAATTTGTTTTATTTGATATATAAGATTAAATCAAGATTGCATGTTTTAATAGTCCAATGATTATTAGAACCTTATAAAAAATATTTTATGAAACTTTAAAAATTATATTTGTAACACAATTTAATTAGATATTTTAATAATATATATTATAATACATATTTTGTTTTTATATTCATAAAAAGTTAAAATTAATATAAATATTAAATTTTAACTTTTCAAAATTAGTAAGTATAATAACAAGAACTATAAACAACCACAAGAAAGTATGTGTTATGACTAGTAAAAAATATGCTTTTATTTTATGTTTATTATTAAACAAAATATTAAAATAAAATTATGTTATTTAATTATTTTTTATATATGTTTAATACTTAAATAATTTATAGATTTGTTATAAATGAGAGACAATTAATAATAAATTTATATTAGGAATTTTTTAAAATGTATAAGAGGATATTAATTATAACTTTAATTAGGTAAATAAGTAGAAGGAGGCTACGTTTTCCCGCCAAAAAGGAAACATGTGTTCCCGCCATGTAATACCTCTCTTATATCTAACCATGGCCAAAATTTTCACAGATCTAGGACTAGCAAGCCATGGACTTCGTCCCAAGCTCCCGGAAGCGGAACCGTACCACTGCAACACTCACCCGCAGCCGATTACATCTCCTTCTTCACCGGATCCGCTCCGGTCAACTCCAGTTCGATCCCATTCAGACTCATGACGAACCGTACCCCTTAGACTTGCACTTTCACCAAATCAATTGCAAAAGACCAAAGCGTGACCACAACCAGCCTCCTCGTCTTCTGACCAAGGACCTTCGTGCCAAGCGAGTGTATTCGCCTCCGCTGTCCACCAACTCCGTTTTGATCCGAGGCACGTATTCCAAGGAGATTATTGATGATTCCAATTGTACGGATGGAAATGTTGGGGAGGATCTGGACTTGAGACTTTCTGGCAAGGCTCGGACCTCCTATCTGAAAAAAGTTGAATCGTTAGAAGAGAGCATCAAATTGCAAGATTGCAGGAGAAAGAACGACGGATATTGTTTGGAGAAAATTGATGGTTTGGATGTATCACTGGTACCAACTACTCTACCTGATGCTGAGGTATGTGTTGGCTCAACTTTCAAATATACACCTTCTTCTGGGAAAGATAAGTCAAAGAATGGTTCTTCTCTTATGAACAAAATTGTAAGGGCCTGACTTTTTTTTTTTTAATTTAGATTAATTTGTTTATACTTTTTTAGGGAACCCTTGTGATCCTAGCAGAGAGCCAGTGACTGACTTTTCTAACAGATGTTCTTTCTTACATATGTATCTAGACATAGATGGATTAAGTGTTGTGTCCTTAATTGGCAGTTCTAACTTTACTTATGATTTTGTTAAAATCCCAGTAAATGATTTTTGTTTTAAAAATTATTATTGCTTTGACAACATATTTTTATAATAGTAGAGTTATTTGGGATATCTATGCAGGTTCTCAGACCACGTGTCCAGGGGAAGTTGTTCAAGGCCCCAGGTTCTCTCAATTACAGAAGATTGTTTCCGTTTCTTAGAGATATCGTCAGAGATCATTCGGGTAACTAATTTGTGCTGTGAACCCCTTATTATTAATTTACTGCTTTACATAATGATTTGGTTAGCAGCTATATGCGATGAATTGGGATAATTTTTATAGGTACACCAAAGTTGGGTCTTATATAAGTAATTTCAATGATTTGTAATTGCTGAGTCAGCATTAGTTAGTTAGGCAGTTATAACTGCTGGGGTAAATATCTATTAATAATAATTAGTTTGTAAAAAAGAGGAGGAAAAAATAAAAACAAAATCTTTCGTCAATTGCATCTTTCCTCTTATTCATTCTCTTTAGTTTAATAATATATCGGAATCTTTCAATTCTTGGGTTCCCTTTTCATATTCCAGTTCTTTAAAGATTTATCTTCCTAGTTTTAGAAAGAATCATAACAATTGGTATCAGAGCTTGTTCGATCCATTTCGGAGTTTTTCCATGGCAAAAACGACAAGAAATGCTCAGGCTCTGAAAGATATGGAGGAGCGTTTATCCGCTCGATTAGATAATCAATTGGTTGAGCTTGTAGGGACAATGCAGCGATCCATTGACGAGTCTTTGAAGAAAACTATGGACGATCTCTTACTACAGCAGTCGCAAGGCTCTCTAGGGGTAAACCGTCATAACGGTTGCAATACCGGTTTGTATTCTTATGGTACCCGTCTTGCTCGCATTGATTTTCCACGATTTTGTGGTGAAAATGTGAATCAATGGGTGTACCAGTGTAATAATTTCTTCTTGATCGACAACACCCCTGACCCCATTCGTGTTCAATTAGCGATAGTTCATTTAGAGGGTCGTGCTCTTCAATGGCACACGACTTTATCTAAAACGTTCAATTGTTCTTCTATGTGTTGGGCGGATTATGCACAATTGGTAATTGCAAGATTTGGAGATGTTTGTGATGATCCCATGGCTGAATTGGAAATCGTCAGTTGTTGAATATCATGAGGAATTTGACTCTATTATCACTCGTTTATCGTTGTCTGAGAATTACACATTAAGTTGTTTTTTAGGCAGGTTGAAACAAGATATTTAGATGTTGGTAAGAATGTTTAATCCCACTTCGGTCTAGAGAGCCTTCCAATTAGATCGAATGTATGAAGCTGCCAACGCCCCTACTAGCTTGAGCAATGCTAAGAATGTTCCCGGATCTTCTAACCATGCTGTGATAGCCAAGAATCAGAAAGGACTGTTGGGGGTCAAACCTGTGTCTGTTCCTAAACCTAACTCTAATACAAGCTCTCAAAAGGAATATGTGAATTCGAAGTTCAAGATTGGTAAAACCTTAACTCCAGCCTTTATGAGTGAAAGAAGAGCCAGTGGATTGTGTTTTTTCTATGATGAACCATACTCCCATGAGCATAGCTTAACTCACAAGAAGTTGCAGGTGCATGTGGTAGAAGTGCTTGAGGATAAGGAAACTATTGAGGAGCCTAGTGTGGCTGATGAGCTTTCTGTTGGGGATGATTTGCAAATTTCAGTCCATGTGTTATTGGGTATAGCTAATTTCAAAACTATGCGTGTTACTGGTCATTATCAAAAGAATCTTGTTCATATTCTAATTGATAGTGGTAGTACTCATAACTTCTTAGATATTGGATTTGCTAAACGATATGGTTGCAAAATAGAGAATTTGGATCCTATTACTGCTACTGTGGCTCGATGGGTACAAACTTCCTATTTCCTCTATAGTCAGGAATTTTACATGGAGGTTGCAAAATACTATTTTTACTTTGGATATAATGCTTATTCCTTTGGGTGGTCATGATTTGGTGCTGGGCATTGAATGGTTGGTCACTCTGGGTGATATTGTGTGGAAATTTGATAAGTTGCACATGGAATTCAAAACCAATGGCAAAAGACTTATTCTTAGAGATTCTGCTCAAGGGAGAATAAAAACTATACAGAAACAACAGGTTGGGAAGGTTTTAGATGAGGGAGTCCATTTATCCATGATTCATCTGTGTGAAGGGGGAGAAGGATTGTTGCAATCCCTCACTGCTCATGCCAATCAACCTCAGCTATCTCCTAGGGTTGTTGATCTCTTGACTGAATTTGATGATGTATTTCAAGAACCTAAGTCTCTGCCTCCTTTCAGACCTGAACATGATCACAAGATTCCGCTTGTGCAAGGCGAAAATCCTCTTAATAAGAGACCCTACAAATATGCTAAGCATAAGAAGGATGAAATAGATAAATTGGTGCAAGAATATTTGAGTAAGGGTGTAATTCAAAACAGTTGTAGCCCCTATGCAAGTCTTGTGGTGTTAGTTGGGAAGAAGGATGGTTCATGGAGGCTGTGTGTGGATTATAGGGAGCTGAACAAAAACACTGTGAAGAATAGATTTCCCATTCCTTTGGTGGATGACCTTTTAGATGAACTCCATGGATCTAGAATCTTCTCTAAAATAGATTTGAGGTCTGGTTATAATCAGGTGAGAATGGCTCCTGATGATGTTCCAAAAATTGCTTTTAGGACACATTCTGGTCATTTTGAATATGTGGTGATGCCCTTTGGTTTATCAAATGCACCAGTTACCTTTCAGGACCTCATGAATTCTGTGTTCCAATCTTTTTTGAGAAGGTTTTTGTTAGTTTTCTTTGATGATATATTGATATATAGCAGTGATTTGGAGAGTCATGTGTGTCATTTAAGGAAAGTACTTTTGACTCTTACGAGCAATAGTTTATTTGCTAGGAGATCTAAATGTTTCTTCGCTGTTAAAAATGTCAAATACCTTGGTCATTTTATTTCTGCTGAAGGGGTCTCTATTGATCCGGCCAAGGTGGAAGCTATGAAAAATTGGCCATTGCCTCAGAACCTCAAGCAATTAAGAGGTTTTGTAGGGTTGGCAAGGTATTACAGGAGGTTTGTGAAGAGGTTTGGAGTGGTGGCTAAGCCCTTGACCGAAATGCTTAAGAAGGATGGGTTTGTATGGAGTGATCACACCAAAGAGGCTTTTCAGCAAATCAAGAACCTTCTCTGTAGTGCACCAGTTCTTGCATTACCGGATTTTTCTAAAGAATTCATAGTAGAGGTTGATGCTTCAGGTTATGGAATAGGAGCAGTCCTCATGCAGGAACACCGTCCTATTGCTTATATTAGCTGAACTTTGAATAATCAGCAGCAGACATTATCTACTTATGAGAAGGAGTTATTGGAAGTAGTGTTTGTAGTCTAGAAGTGGAGACACTACCTTCTCAATAGGCATTTCACGGTAAAAACTGATCACTACAGCTTGAAGTATTTGCTGGATCAAAGGCTCACCACTGTGTTTCAACAGAAGTGGTTAGCAAAGCTCATGGAGTTTGACTTTTCCATAGAATACAAGCAGGGGCATGAGAATGTGGTGGCTGATGCTTTGTCAAGGGTTGTGGAGTTAACATGCCATAGTTTGAGTACTTATAAATTACAATCTGATTTGGGTGATAAGATCAAGGCTACTTGGTTAACTGATGTGAATTTGAAGAAGTTAATCAAGGAAATTCAAGATGGCTCGGCTATACATAAACACTAAACATGGCATAATAACGAATTAAGGAGGAAGGGAAGGTTAGTGGTTGGAAACGATAGTAAGTTGAGAGAAGAATTACTGTAGTGGTTGCATTCTTCAGGTGCTAGTGGTCATTCGAGCATTAATGCAACAATGCAAAGGATCAAAACTTTGCTACTTTGGAAGGGTTTAACTACTGATGTAAAGAAGTTTGTACTGTAATGTCCTGTATGTCAGAAAAATAAGTATTCTACGGTTGCGAGTCCAAGATTTTTGCAACCATCGTCAGTTCCTGATCAAGTTTGGCAGCATGTGACTATGGATTTTATTGAGGGGTTACCTATGTCTTTTGGGAAATAAGTCATTCTAGTAGTAGTGGACAAATTGAGTAAAGTAGCCCACTTCATGGCTCTTTCTCACCGTTATACAGCAAGGGATGTAGCACAGGTTTTCTTGGCCCAAGTTTTTAAGCTGCATGGTTTTCCAGGCACAATCACTAGTGGCCGGGACCCTGTCTTTATCAGTACATTCTGGCGGGATTTGATGGCTTTCCTGAGAGTTCAGGTTCAACTTTCATCTAGCTATCACCCTTAAACGGATGGCCAATCGGAAGTGGTAAATAGGTGTCTTGAAACATATTTGAGGTGTATGTGTTGTGACGCACCTCAGCAGTGGAGCAAATGGCTGCCCATGGCCGAGTGGTGGTATAACATTACCTATCACATTGCCACCAAGGCTACCCCATATGAGATTGTTTACAGCCAACCTCCTCCCATACATCTCTCCCTTATCTGCTTGGTCAGTCCAAGATTGAGCTAGTAGATAGAAGTTTGTTTAAGAGAGAAGAGATGTTGAAGATGTTGAAGTTCCACCTCAGAAGAGCCCAGGAAAGAATGAAACAACAAGCCGATAAACACAGGATTGACAGGGAGTATCAGATTGGTGATATGGTATATGTTAAGCTTCATCCTTATTGGCAAATCTCTGTGGCGCATAGGAGCAATATGAAGCTGAGTCCTAAGTATTTTGGGCCCTATCGAATTATTGATAAAATTGGGGTTGTGGCTTACAATCTTGAACTACCAGATCAGTCCAAGGTTCATGATGTTTTCCACATTTCACAGCTTAAGATGCATGTGGGAAGGGTCCCAGTTTCAAGTGTGTTGCCATATCAGTCAGAAGATGCTTTGGTAGACAAGGAACCGGAAGCTATCCTAGATAGGATGACAGTTCGAAGGAAAAGAGTAGCAACGACCAAGGTTTTGGTTAAATGGAAGCATCAATTGGTAGAGGATGCTACTTGGGAGTTTTACTACGATTTGAAGAAGAAATTTCCATCTTTTCATCCTTGAGGGCAAGGATGCTGAAGGGGAGGATATTGATATAAGTAATTTCAATGAGTTGTAATTGCTGAGTCAGCATTAGTTAGTTAGGTAGTTATAGAAGTTGGAGTAAATAGCTATTAATAATAATTAGTTTGTAAAAAAAGGAGGAAAAAACAAAAACAGAATCTTCCGTCAATTGTATCTTCCCTCTTATTCATTCTCTTCAATTCAATAATACATCGGAATCTTTCAATTCTTGGGTTCCTTTTCATAATCCAGTTCTTCAAAGATTTATCTTCCTAGTTCTAGAAAGAATCATAACACTTAGCCAGAACAATGAGGATAGTAGACAATATTTGCAGCTTCCTTTGCTGTCTAAAAATCAAGAGGCTTCTAAAGCAGAATTTAAGACCGAGGGTTGCACCATGCGTGGTACTAATGGGTCAAAATTGTCATCTACCTACTACTTTCTTGAATAACAAATGCAATTAGTTTCAAAAGAAGTGACTGCTAAGTGTTTTGTGCCACCTGCAGAGATTAAATGCTTGAGTGAATCGAAGGTGGATGCCACTGCTGATTATGGTGTTAATGCTGTTGGGAGTGATTTCCCCAATGATGGCTCTAATCAATTGTCTAACCACAGAAACAATATTGATTGTGCCGTGCCCAGTTATCGTGCTTGTACCTCATCGGAGTTTGGTGTTTTCAGTGAAGAATGTATACTGACAACTGCTCCTGATGCTGATTTTTATGATAATTCAGAGGTCAATGTCAAACCCATGGATTTGACCAGAAGCACCGAAGTAAATGCTGGTGAACGGTTTTGTCTGAAAGCTGACCTGGGGAAAGATTCTCTTGAGGGTAAATGTGTAAGAATCTGTCCTTTGTTTTTAATTTCCACCAATTATGTGTTAGACATTTAATTACTGATCTTTGCTAAATTATAATTATGCTACCTAATCAGATTAGGTATCGAAATCATAGGTGAAATATTTTATAATATTATATGTTGAGTACAACTTTTGATGTGTGGATTTTCTAGCAACTCCATGTGTCTGTGTATATTTACAATAATGGTTTTACATTTAGTAGCAATTTAAATATGATTTGAAACGTCCGTGCAGGTTCCTAGACAGCGTTTGCACAGCAAACTTTTTAAAACCCTAGGTTCTGTAAGCTATAAAAGGTTGCTTCCATTTCTAATGGATCTTACCAAAGATTACTCTGGTAACTTATCTTTGTGTATTCAACCACTTCATATAAATTCTTTAGATATGATATGCGGATAATGAAGAAACTAATTGATTTTGCAGGCACATCCAAATTTGATAATGAGACTCGTCATCAAGAAGAAAAGGAACATATGCATCCAAAGAGTTTCCAACGTCCTTTGTCATCTCAAAGTGAAGAAGCTTCTCTAAAAGGACACAAGACAGACGGCAGTCCCATGCATGCTACAGTTGAATCCCATGGAGTAGAAAACTACGTTTTAGTTTATCCTTCTAAAGAGTTATCTCATGACAACCAACCAAATTTAACACCTTCTCAAGTCTTGCCTGAATTGCCAACGCATTTGGACTCAAAAGAAGTGGTTGGTGAGGGTTTATCTGCACCCTCTGTCAACGAACATACAGAGAAAATGGTTAATGGTGAATGCTTGAGTGCATCAGAACTTAATCCATGTTCAGTAATGGAGGATGATTTTCACTCTGCTAAGGAAGTTGCAAATGTTGCGCTTGCGCACAATGAGAACCTCCAGGAAGTACAAAATAAGATATCCAAACGACACGACTGTGAGTCACCACCCAAAGATCATAATAGACTTTATGTCAAAGGTGATATCTCTGAGTTTACATTTGTGCATCATTCAAATATAGAAAAAGGATTGACAATCGATTGTGATGAAAACAAGCAGTTTGTGAATCTGGAGGAGCGTGAATCTGTTAATATATTTCCTCAAGAAGGTCAGAGTCTATGTCATTTGGATCCAAATGTGCTAGATGTTGACGAGAATGTTACAAGTTTAAATCATGCCCTGGCTTCAAATGATATACTTAGATCACCTGAGAAGATTATGTCAAGAAAATCTGACATGACAGGACATTGTGGTGACAAAGAAGGAAGTGGGCAGAATGTCATAGTTTTATATTCGAGGATGCCTTCAGAAGGTAGTGATAACAATAAGACTAGTGAAATTGTAAATGACTCTGAATCCAAGAACACACCGGTGAGGACCTTAAATACTGCATGAACAACATCATGATTCTTCTTTCCTCACGTTGATTTTACTTGTATTTTGTGGTTTAGAAACAGGTTCTTGAACGTTGTCTGCAGTTTAAATTGTTGAAACAGGCCGGATCTTTAAACTGCAAAAGACTGCTACCGTTTTTATTGAATACTATGAAAGATAATTCTTGTAAGTATTGGTTTTTATTCTCGTGGAAGATAATCATTTAGTTTAGTGTTTTTTTTTTTTTTTTTTCTTTTTTTCCAGTTTTTTTCTTGGCCACGGTATCGGTAGGTGATTCAAATGACTGTGTTCCTTGAAACATTGTGCAGGCCATTCTGGTACTCAACATCAAATAGGGCTAAACAATTATAGTTCAAGCCGAAAATTTCAAATTCCTGTATTTCAGTCATCTCATGATTCATGCGAAGTGATTCAACTGCAAGACAAGCAGGTTGTATTGAATGGATTCTGCAAGCCAGAGAGCTCTACTGATCCATCAATTTCTTCTCAGGAAAGAGAATTACCAATCATAGGAACTATGATTAAAGAAGTTATCACCAAGAAAGAAAAAGCTACACCTCCCTTGTCCAAATCATCAGTTTTCTCCGAAGTAAAAGGAAATGGTTCTCTTATGATGTCTTCTAGTGAGAAACCACCTGAAACACACAAATGTTGTGAGAGCTTGTCTGAACTGAAAGTCGTTGGGGGCCCTGCTGTTGGTTTAAGAAAAGGAATTTTAAAAAGAAATCCAAGAGGATGCAGAGGGCTCTGCGCATGTTTGAACTGTGTTTCTTTTCGCCTTCATGCAGAAAGAGCATTTGAATTTTCTAAAAGTCAATTGCTAGATGCCAAAGAGGTTGCCCATGACCTTATGAAAGAACTATCTCATCTAAGAAATATGTTAGAAAGATATGCGGATAATGTCAACATCAATCAAGTTTTTGATGCAAGCCAGGTTAGTTCCATAAGTTAATTTTCCTGGCCGTTTCATAAAGTTATTTGGATTTAATATAGTTTACCGGTGAACTTGTAATTCTAGCCGTACCTGAATATGAAAACTAGCTCTCAATTGGGGTAAAAGTATACAGAGAAAATGCCTGGGAAACTAAGGCTATTTTACCCCTGTATCTTTCAGGTGAAAGAAGCTTGCAGGAAAGCATATGCAGTAGAAGAACTTGCGAAGGACCGGCTTAATCAGATGCACGATGATCTTAACATCCGTAGCAGAATAACAGTAAGTGAATGGTTATATCCAAATTTGGTTCCTCCATTTGAACAATTTATTTGAATTTGTTTATGCAGAGGTTGCAGGCACCAAGGGTGACATTTGCAGTTCATGTTGAAGAAAATACAACTCAACCAGGTGGTTAATTGTCCAACTTTAATGGTGTTTTTGAAACTGGAACAGTGTCATGGTAGGTTTTTTTTTTTTTTCTTTTTTTTACGTATATTGGTAGTAGCATCAGTTATTGAAGAAATCGTGCTGTTAAGACCATTTTTTTAATCTGGAAGAGTGTCATCGAAGAATTGTCCGTACGATTTCAATTGAAACTTATTATTATTTTTTTTAATTATACTAGGTAGCACCAGTTTTATTGTTTTTTAACTAAATTCTTGCTATCTAGTATGGTTTTACGTAATTATATTTTTAAACATAAAAATAATTAATTATTTACATAAATATATTATATAAAAATTAATTATTTTTTTTTAATTATATTATATTATTAATTTGAAAAAACAGAGAGAAATAGAATAAAAAATAATTTAAATTAGTAATTATATATTAAATAGAAATAAAAAATTATATATTATTGTAAAATAAATTATAAAATATTTAATGTTGAGATCTTGTCCTCAATGTGTTCTTCTAATATGATGGTGGTGGTTGAACATTTGTTTTTGTATTATTATCATCATCATTAATATCTTGTTTGAGATTAATTTTATTGTATGTTGATTTTGTTATCATGAAAGGGGTGAGAAACATATTTGATTGATAGCAAAAGAAAATAAATGTATGAGGTACCGACCTCTAAATTGAGATTGATTAGTTAAATTTTAATTTGTCAACATATCTAAAAAAATAGATAAGATTGTTGATTAGCTTGATTAATATGTAGATGTTTGATCAATTGATCAATATGTTGAATTAGTTTATTGATCAACAAGTTGATCAGTCGATTGACCATCACGTTGATCAGTCGACTGACCATCACGATCAATTGATTGACCAACATGAACATGACTAGATTTATCTTGTTGTGTGTCATACTAGTGAAAAAGAAAATATTATAACATTAGTTTCATATAAATAATATTATGTATAAAATAAAATAAATTATATACTTATTTCATCATCTGAATCTTAGTGTTGAAAAGAGGAATTATATCTTATAGTATGTTGAAAATATTATATCATATGTGGTGTAAGTAGGCATTCTCGAGAAACTTGTTTCTTTGAAATAAGCAATCATAAAGATCGTTTTAGATAGTAATTCAATCTTCATGGTATAAGGGTCAAAATCTATCAATTTTATCACTCATTTCTTCTTTGTGAAGTTTGAGTATATTGATGGGATTTTCTAGAATTGGTTGACGAAGGCTAAATTGTTCTATAACCTGATTTGTTAGATGGAGTTCAATAGTTACAAAACATATAATTGAATTTATAATAGGATTGACGGGAGAACCTCAACATTTATAAGTTGTCATAATCAAGATTGATGATAAAGAGTTCATAAAAATTATATTATTATATACGACATGTAAAATTAAAATAGTTATGATTCAATTAATATATATTAAAAGTATTTCTAGAAACACGAGTTGTAATAAATGAATTACTTCCTCTAATTTTATTTGATCAAATGTTAAATGTAATGCATGTAGAACATATGTGATGACGTTTAACCTTTGATCTTGTTGTGACCACCTATTATATATAAATAATTATTCAAAATTTGAAAATAAATTTAAATAAAATAATGTGAAATAAATTTCTATAAATTTATAATATCTTTTTATTAATGGGAAACCATAATTAGTAACAATCTCTTTATTTATTTAGTTTTCTATCTTATGACAAATGCATGTAATAAGATCTCATGTTTGAAGCAACAACATCTAACCTAATGTTATCCTAATGATAGTAAATCTCATGATCTACCACTTTATAGACATGTCAAGATAGTTGATGTCCAATTATAGTGTAACCTTACAGTTAAGACTTGCAATAATAGATATGATTAAATGTACTCTAGATGTTAATATATCAAACATTAATAAGCTTCTTATTATTGTCAATATGTATGTATTGCATGTTGTGTGATAACATTATCATATACATCAGTGAGAAACTATAGAAATGAAGTGTTTAACCAAGAAAGTTTGATTGTATTTCTAGTAATAACTTCTTAGGGTGGAAATAAACCTAATAAAGATTTATAAAATACTGTCAAGTCGCTACTCGTGACATTTATAACTGTTAGTATATCAATGGGAAGATTTAGTTGTAAGGCTACATCTTCTAAAGTTAATGTGGTTTTTTCCAATAGGAAAATGAAAGGTGCGGGTTTTTGTTATTCATCTTTCAACAACTATCAAAATCCCGATTCTTGCATTAAATTTTTAACTTGATCATCTAACATCTTTGTATGTTTTGTTATCCAATTATTATGTAGCCTGAGAAGAAGTAATCTTCCATTCCCTTCTCATATTGTGTTTGATACATATTTATCCTAGAGGCGTAACAAAAACATATATGAAAGAAGATGACAACGATTGAATGTTATGTATGCAATTCAAAAATTATGAAGAATAACCATAGTGTAGAAGATTAACATATAAAGAAACAATATATGTAAATAAAATTAATCAAATGCTGGAGAAATTAAAAAGGCATAAATAAAATTAAAGAGAAAAAGCAACAACATATGTAAATAAAAGAGAAAAATTATAGAGACATAAATTAAAGATACAAATAAAATTAAAGAGACAAAAGTAAAAGAGAAAAAATGCAAATAAAAAGAGAAAGATTAAAGATATAAATAAATGAGAAAGTTAAAGAGATATGACATTCAATCGTGGTCATCTTCTTATAGATATGTCCTTGGTATGTCTTTAAGACAAACACATAATATATGCATTATGAGAAGGAAATGAAATATTACTTCTTCCTAAGCGACATAATATGTGAATAACAAAATAGGCAAACATCTTAGATGATCGTGTTAAAAAAATTTATTCAGGAAGTAGGATTTGGATAGTTATAGATTCTTGCAACTGTTAATGTGAATCATAATTTGAAAATGTTAGTTGAAAAGTTGAGAATAGAAATCCACATTGTTCATTGGAGAAGATAAAGAAACTTTAGAAGATATGACCTGTTGAGGACCAGAACATAATTTAAATTGGCAGATACGTAAGCAATTGTAAATTGAATTTAGAACACGAAAAATAAACTAATTATGCTCACATTATATAAAAAATTAATAATATATATTCAAATAGTGGTTTAACCCATCTCAAGACATCCAATGCATCATCAATATCAAGTCTTTGATCAGTAATATTAACTGCTAAAGGTATATTGTTGTAATAATCAAATATTGACAATAAAGCACGTGCAACGATAAACCAATCTTTGGATTAATTTATCATCGACAAAACAAATTCTTATAATTATCACATGTTTATCATTACAAGTGGGTATGCAATTCGGCCAAATATTAATCTTCCTTTGGGCCGACTAATACTCGCATAAATATACACAAACACTAACTTTCAATATTTTTCATGAATTTCCCAATTCGAGAGAGGTTACTTTGGTGACTTCTTGACTTAATTTGCTCACAAAAAATATTAAACTACCAAAAAATTGAATATTTTATTTATATAACAAAACCAAATATTTAATATTGGCAAACTAATTCAAAAGAGAATCACCTCATTAGAATTCTACTAAGGATGAACACCTCCCTAGAATCTTATTAGGGATGAATACCTCATTTTCCACCAATACATAAATGATGAACATCTCCTTAAAATCACATTATGGATGAAACAGAGATAGTTTTAAGTCTCTTTAACACACTGCTCTAAACCCTAAAAGTGATTAAATAGTAATCAATCAAACCCTAAACAGGGAATTTAAAATCAATTTTTCCTAAAAAAAAGAACAGTCACACCTGTGGAAACATTTATCATTTACTTAAGATTTTCTGTGTTGAGAATTTGATGTGGACATAAAGGCCCAAGCCCATAATGAGAAAGATCAAGACCAAGATCCAATCCAAAACATAGGTGGACCTATGACAAGAGGCAGACTCAGAAAAACACAAGAGGTATTGCATAGACCTATCACATGCATAGAATGTTTGGAGAGCTAGAAGACCCAATTAAAAGATTTAGTTGGCCCAACTAAAAGATTTAATTTTTATTATTATTATTATTTTATTTGCTATAGTGAGGATTTGAACCTAAGTCCTAAAACTTATAATGCCTTCATTGAACCATTTGGTCAACTTAACTTTGTTTGAGATATTAGGATTTTAATTTATCTTTAATCTTGCATTACCCTAAATATTAGATTTGAGGACAAATACTGCCCAAGAAGGAGGGAATGATGTGGACATAAAGGCCCAAAGGATCAAGACCAAGATCCAATCCAAAACTTAGGTGGACCTATGATAAGAGGCAGACTCAGAAAAACACAAGAGACATTACAATACAAAGTGACCAATTTGCTAAAGGCTCAACTATTAAAAGATCCAAATATGAAGGAGTCTAGACCTATCACATGCATAGAATGTTTGGAGAGCTAGGAGACCCAACTAAAAGATTTAGTTTTTATTATTATTATTATTTTATTTACTACAGTGGGGATTTGAACCCAAGACCTAAAACTTATAATGTCTTCATTAAGGCATCTGGGCAACTTAACTTTGCTTGGGATATTAGGATTTTAATTTATCTTTATTTCCTGCAATGAGACAAACTCATAAACTTAAGTTGTATTAAACATTTGAAAATTTAGAATGAACGAACGTAATATTCAAATTACTTTGTGAGTTGTTGCTCTACTGGGGTTCTTCCTTGCATAATTTGATCTTATCAAGAATTATCCAATTCTTATGGCGATCCTTCTTGGCTTATCAAATATTCTTATTTGTGGTGCCTACGGTATTTTTTATTTTTTCTGTTCTCTATTTCCAATCAAATCAATTCTTAAAACCTAACCCTAAATTGTTTCCCTTCTATTCGAGTGTCATTAGAATTCTCCGAACACCACCCCCAATTCCAAACTCATAAAATTAAATAAAAAAAAAAACAAAAGATTCAAAGAGAATAGAGAACTCAATACAAGAAAG